GAGGCCTCCATTCAAGTCTTATGGAGTATTTAAAATAAAGCAAAGCTTTGTCTTATTGAGCATCTGGATTAGAATTGTTTTTCAAAAATTGTATTAATTTTCTGTAGTTTTTGAAAGTGGATTGAAATGAGATAGTATTCCAAACCCCTTCCTCTTCTCCCTGAAATTCTTTAATTTTCTTATTGTGCATTCATTTGTGTCAGGAATGGCTACTGCTCAGCAGCACATGTTGTACTATCTGCTGCACACAGCCATCTGTGGCAAAAGAAGCCGTAGCTCTGAAGTCAGGTATTTGTTCCAGACTGCTGCAGTCCCTCCTTCTCTGTGTTTTCACCAGGCTGATGGTCACCCAGCACGTTTGCAGCCAGAAGCTGCCTGGAGCTACCCTCAGTGACCCAATCAGCTGCAAGAGAAAACCATTTGTGGAATTGCTTTGTTCTGCAGTAACAAAACTTAATCTCTTACATACATGGCTTTCATTTACCACTCAGGGAATTAGAGTACTCAAAGTCTGCTGAAGTCAAATGTGTGAGCAAGACCACAAAAATATGTAATAGGCAACTGGTGATTTTGATTCAGTCAAGCAGCAAAACATTAACCTTTGGTCACAGTAGCAAGGAATGCTAAACTTGTGAATTTACTGCAGCAGATAATTTCACTCCTATACCTGCAGGAGATCATAGGAGTGGTTTCCTACATAAGGAGAGGCTGTGCCAAACTGGCTCTCTAAGAATGGTGTGCTGTGATTTCTCTGAAGGGCTGTTGCAAACATGGTGTGAGACTTCATTAAGGTAGGTATGCACTTGTACTGCTGCCATTCCTGCCCATCCCTGTCACTCTCAAGCTCTTGCCCAAAAACACTTTATTTAGGATGCTTTGATATTTTACAGATGTAACCAAGCCTGGGAGAAAATGCTGCTGTTCTAGGCACTTCCTCTCTATGCTTTTCCTACCAGATGCTCTTCCAGTCCTCCTGCTCTGTCATTTTCCATTCCAAACGAAAATTCTTGTTCTTTGCATCAGCTTGCTGAAAACTGGGCAGTCCCACCAGAATTTGATGCTCCTGAAATTAAAAAGCAAACAGATCCAAGCTTAAGGTATTGCAGCATTGTGCTCATCTGGGTCCCTACAAAACAGTGGCCTTGCAAATCACTTTTCCCCTGATCTTTGTTTGCTGCTGCCCTTCCTACCCTCTGAACTGCTGTCACTCTGAGTTAGGCTGTCACCCTGATTGAAGTTGTCAGCTCTGCCAGGTGAGGACCGTGCCTTCCTGTGTCCCCACCCAGCTGTGCCATCCAGTACAGCCACCACTGCTGCAAATGCAGGGCCACCAGCCTCCTGCTTGCAACGCTGCTCTAGACAAAATCTGTCATCATTTTTGTACATTACTTGTACACTTTTACAAAGCTTTTCAAAGATCCCGTGCATTTTGTGCAGAAAATAGAGACCTTCTTAAAGGTCTCTATTTTCAGATGAAAGCTTACATCAGCTATGAAAAGTAACTTTAATACTTTTAAAATTGAAATTTAAGTAATTCTAGTAAATAATATTCAGTCGGGATTGCATTATCATTGTTTAGATAGGGCCACAAAAAAACAAATTAAGAGATACCTCAGTTGCAAAGGATCTGTTTTGCAGATCAAATGTGGACCTAAGAAGCATGGAAAGAACTGTTCCCTCTGGGGACATCAGAGCACCTTTGAAACAACTGGAAAGCCTCTGTTGGCTTCAGTGGGCCCAGGCTTTCCTGGATGGCTTTCAACTTGGGCTTGGACTAATTGTAACTTGCACGCAGCCAGGAATGGTTCCCAGAAGGAAGCAGCCCCAAGGAAGACACCAGCTTAGGAAGAGCTCAGGGTGTGACTCTGATGTGGTTTGTGCTGGTGGAAGTTACCCTGAAGGCATTGGTAGCTGCAGGCACCTTCCCAGCTGTGGGCGTGGGTGTTTGCTGGTTTTCAGCACTGGTGTCAGTGGGGCACACTGGAGTTATCTGGGCATGCTGCTGCTGGGAAGTGCAGCACAAACCAGTGCACAGCAGGTCTGTGTTTCTCTCAGCCCCATAAGAGCTGCTGTGGTGGGCAACTACAGATATTAGGAATATTTGGGGAAACCATGGAACAGAGAATAGAAAAGAGATATTTTTCAAAGCTACCAGAATAACTTTGTGAAAGGAGTGTATGATTTAATACTACTCAAATACCATCCTTCTGGCCTGGTTTCTGAAAGGAGCAAGGCATTTGTGAAGTGAGATTTTCCCTCAGTGCACGTCAGTCTTATAGAGCTGATGTATAAAAGCCATACATTAGCTAATAATGAAAATTTTAAATAATTTCTTTTGTTTTGATGTTTTAAATAAGATGAAAACTTGCTTTTTTCGTTTTATGCTTTTCCCAGGAGCATTCCTTACCCAGGTTGGAAAGATACATGTCTTAGAGTACTTCTCTTGAATTCTGATTAGCATTTCCTTTCACCATGGACAATTAAATCTGACATGAAGGGATACAAAAAGATGTTTGTTAAGTATTTAGAAAGCTCAGTACTGACCTAGATGCTGGAATTTTTGTTATGGTCATATACACAGGGATTGTAAACCTGTCCTAAGGTCTCAAACTCAAAAGAAGCTCCCACTCCAAAATAAAATAAAATAAATTTTAAAATATTTAAAAAAAGAAAAGTAAACCAAAACCACAAAGTTGTGATGATAAATACAAGCTTTAGAAGGCAGCAGCCCTCCCCATTTTACTGAAGAGACTGTCTGCTCTACAGAAGGGGCTGGATATTAATTCAAACAGTCTGCTAATTTTCCATATGAAGTTACAGTCCTATGACCATTTTGACCAAATAGACTCTACTATGAATTTAAATTAGCATATTGATGCAAATTACCCAACTGTTTCCTTGTATCTCTATAAGACCTGCCAGATGAATACTGTTGCCCTAAATTGTGATATTTCCCCTACAAAAATGAGTTTCCTATTTTTGAGGCAACAATTACAGGTTGCATGAGAATGGTGTGTTATTTCCTGAAATTGTATGTAATTTATTTTTAAGAGTTTGAAACAGAGTTTTGAAGTTAAATGTGTATCATCTTTGTAACTGCTCAAATCATTTATTTTACATTTCCTGAAATAACTTTGAAGTGAAATGCAAATAAGGGGAAAATAAATTACAACTTGTGGAATGACCAGTGTCTGATTATATGCAGTATAATTAACTCCATCCTTCACAAAATGATTGTCTTAATACTTATCCCATGTACTTCAGAATCATTGAAATGATTAGTGATTCTCTGCTTGGGGAAAACAGTTAAGTTTGTTCATAAAGTAGATCTTTTTATTCACTTTTGGGTCATGAAGATTTAGCATTTTAAAAACACTGATTCAAAATTTATTTAATGTTAATAATAAGGAGCTACAACTCAAATAGTCAAACTACTCAAAATAGTCTTTTCTGTTTAATTCTAATTTACCTACAGTAATTTGCCTTTGGAAAAATGGATGGGATTTAGTATTTTAATTTGATTATTATATTTAGGACCATAAAATAGATTAATAAGGCACATTTACACTTTCTTTGCCTGTTCTGTAGTTTACAAACAGAAATGGTGTTTCAAATTAGCAGACTTCTATTTTCTATAAGAAACCATTTTAGTCCAAAAAGAAGCTTTTTCATTCTTAGACTATTACTTGTATTATGACAGAAATTAAGATTTTTGTGACCTGTAATTAACCGTGTCTCCTCATGCTATAAATACGATTTGGCAGCTACAGCTGGAGTTAACCGTATGTTGAGGTCTAAGTCCTTTATTTATAGCTTTCTGTATTTGCTAATGACACTGTGGAGTTCAGGGATGCAGACAATAAAGAGTACAAATAAAATTTGTGCCTCATGTCTGCAGCCCTGCTCCATTTCTTTCCTCCAGTGGCATCAAGAGTTTCCTCAAATTTTCCTGTGCTGGGAAATCTCCAGGGTTGGCGCGCGAGTCTTTGACGCTGTTAACAATTTCAATCTGCACCATTAAAGCTGCATTTTCTCACCGTCCCCCGGTAATTGTTGCAAGGACTTAGACAAGTAAGACTATCCAAAGGCATCAGTAAGGTCAAAGCGTGGTGGAAAGAGCTCTGATTTTATCCTGGAGATTGATGCTTGTATCACCTTTTTTTCGATTCAGTAGCTGGGGTTATAAAATGTACTCGCAATCACTGATAACATGTTAGATCAGACAACAAGTGGAGTAACACAGTATTTTATACACTCTGGGTAGCTTTACCTAATGCAACAATAAATCAGTGAAGGCGGAGGTCTTTTGTAAATTTTAATGAAAATTCAGCTGCTGAAAATATGGTTACTTCTGGCTGAAGTTCCAGAAATATGAATTGTCTTCCATTCTTTAAAGCTGTAAAAATTGTTTTAACTACAAACTTTCTGGTAAGGCAGTAAAGAAGAAAGCAGTTAAAGAAGAGACAGCATATCCAATATATTATAATTAATTTGTCATTGGCTATAAGTAAATTGAGGGGAGGGGACCAGACAGTGAAATGTTCTTTGAGTTAGCTGTAAAGAATTCCCTTTCTGAGCACCGTCTTAAAAAAAAGAAAAAAAATCTGTACATGAATGAAACTAAAGTTGGTTGAATGGGCCCATTGTGCCATTTAATTTCATGGAAATTAAATTATGATAGAACTTAAAAATATTTGCCAGCTAATCTATAATCCACATTTTTATGCAAGTCCACAATGTTTAGTAGAGAACTTTTACTTCCACTGATTATTATAGCTACTGAAAAATATGCTTTTTTATTGTTGCGAAATTGCAGTTATATATAGCAAACCTAATAGAAATTTATTAAATTAGGTTCACAACAGGAAAATGGGGGTATAGAAATAAAGAACACTGAAGAATAAAAACATGCTGCTAAACTTCTACAGCATCTTTCTTTCTTGCAAGTTTAAAGCAATATTCCTGTAAAATTAACTTTATTCTTTCCTAAAATCTCTCAGACTACAGAAAAAGACCCAAATCTGTTCCAAGTGACCAGGCTCATTAGAACACTGAAGACATGAACAGCAATATGAAGAATTTACACTTGTTTAGAAGTCACACAAGAAATAGAATTTATTCAGTTCTTCACTTCCCCAAGGTAGATTTTTCCTTGATTCCTTTTTTACTAATTATGTTATCCACATACATGATTTTTTTAAAAATATAAACTAAGGTATGATATTTGTTATTGCTTGTGCTTTTCTTATTTTTCTTCTTTATTTCAGGTATTTCTCTTAAATTTCATCGAATTTTGAGTACCTTGTCTGGTTAATGGAACATTAATTGAACTTTGGTACTTTCATGATTGATTCAGAGCAGAACTAATAAGATACAAATGAATATTAAAAATAATTTTTAACAATAATATTTTAAATGAAACATCTTTTGAATAATTTAAAAGTTATAATTTTTCCTTGCTAGTGTTTCTACACAGAAATTATGAATTATACATATTGAGCTGTTTCTTGTAGCCTTCTTGCAAACTTAAAATGATTGTCAGAATTTTATCGGAAAAGATTTAAAAACTGATTGTTTGCTCTCATTTTTATGACTCTCCCAGTACAGTTTTGTTGGCTTCAAGGGGTTGTTCCCAAATTACATTGGTGTCAGGCTGGAATGAAATCAACTCAGTTCAAGCACCCCAAACATCATTCTCACCTGCAAAACATCACTGGCTTCCACCACTCTCAAAGGTAAGCAGCAGATTTTTACCTTCCATTGCTTCTGGTGCTTCTATACCTGCATTAACAAAGAATATTTCTGTCTCAAGCTGGTATATATTATAAATAGCTAAAATGTGTTTCCTACTTTTTTTTTTTCTGTTATGTAAACTCTGTGTCAGGAGCTAACTTCTGATCTCTGCTTGAATACTTGAGTAACTTTTAATTTACTGTCTAGATTTCAAACCCCACCATGTGAACTCCTATTAAAATAATAATAATGGCAGCAAGAGCTGTGGCCAAGAGATTAATATTTAGGCAGTGAATAGGAGCTTTCAGAAAGCCTGTGGTAGTTCTGAAAAACATTCTATCCAGAGTGACAGAAATGAAAATTATTTGGAAGTCACCAGCCAGGGAGTGATGCTGTATATCCTTTAGAAACTCCCTGGGCTTCCAGAGACTGCTTGGGAAAGTCAGCATCAGTTCTGGGAAAGGGCATTCCCTCATGCATTGTGATGTATTTCTGCAAACTTACTACCAAGCAGAACAAGTTTCCAGTGGTTCTGCATCTGCTCCTGCTCAGCCAAGGTGCCTCTGGGAATATATTTCCCCTTGCAGCAGCAGGTGGCGTTGAACAGCTCACGTTATTCGCACTCTCATAATCATTTTGTCGTACATGTAGTAAAAGCTTCTCTCCCAAAAGAGAGAATCTGCAAGAGAAATTCCACAAGTTTTTACAGATGCAGCAGATTTTCTACATGACTAAAGTAGGGCTAAGTTCTTCTAGCTTTAATCACACTGAGAATTGAGACTATAAAGAATGTATTTAAGTGACAGCAAAAACAGGTGTGGTAGAGTAATATCTTAATTACATTTTAATTTCTTATCCACAAAAATCTCTTGAAACACCACAGAGTTCATAAAGAGTTGTGATAAGATCACATTATCATGGGCTAGCTCATTCACTCTCCAGCAGGTACACAAAGCTGAGCTAGTCTGTGGCATTCTTTCCACACTCCACCTCCACAGGCAAAGGAATGGTTCCCCTCCCATGGTCAGAGTGTGTTCACAGAACACAGGGCCATGCTGCAGATTTACCCCACGGCAAGTGAGAACAGAATGAGAATTACCATCTTCTGAGTTGTTCTGAAACTGCTTCCAAAAATCAAAAGGCATTGCATAAGTTCAAAACACCTCCAAATGATTTCCTAGGTTTATTTTTAAAATACGGTATGCACATAAAACAAAAAAAAGTAATTATTTTTATCTGCACAGAGGTAACATTAAAGAACAGAAGTCTTTTACAAGCAAATAACTATACATCAGTTTCTATAGTTAGTCTTTGCACTAATTATGAGTATTTAAGAAATCCATCCATCTTTCTTTCATCAACAGTCACAGTTTTCCATTTGCATATCTAATAATTTATGGCATGTCCTGACCCCAAGCAGTAATTGAACCAATAGATCTTCAGCCTAGATTTACTCATCTGGCTGCCACAGTAATGTAACTCTGCAGGAGTTTTGGATTACTCCAAATGCCATCTCCTCTTCTAAGAGGTTGACAGTCACAGGCAAAATTTGACCTCCCAAATGTCAAGGCAAAAACTCCATTGCCTAATTTAGAGTAACTAACTCTCCTTTTGGAATATTTCAGATAAAAACAAGAGGGCACAATGATTGCTCCCAACATTACTCCAGGAAGATGGTCTTTAATGTAAGGCTCTGTAATGATAAATGAATTCTCCTTGGAGTTTAAAACCATGTAAGAGGGGGAAATCTATGCACCAGAGCTTGAAATAAGTAATGTAAAAACTAAGGCGGGGGGGCAGGATGGGGAGAGAGAAACTGTTACTTTAGAGAGGAATCTCATGATCAGAGCCAGACTGAGGAGACTTGAGCTGAGAGATTTGGAAGGGGCAGATGGGGTGCTTTTCTGCCTCAAGCAAGCCATGGCACAGGGCAAAACCACCCAGCCAAGAGCCTGTGTTTCATCTTCTCAAAATGTGGTTTAGAAGCCAATTTCAAGGCAGCATTATATGCCTCAGTAAAGTGTTCTCAAAAGCTTTGAACAAGAAAAATGCCAGCAAACACACAGCCTGCACTGCTGCAGTGTCTTTGCTGAATACTAACTATAGAGAAAATGCAGCCAGGGAAGTTTGGGTTTACAGCAGGTATAACTTGGGAAACTCCCTCTGCCATTCATACACTTGTGGCTGTGTGGGGCAGGTGCAGAGGCTGCTAACACTGCTGCTGCTTCCAAGCCGTGCATCAGATATTATGAAAAGGCTCTGGGTTTGAAATTTTGTAACCCTCATCTGTTGGCTATTTTGTTTTTCTGGAAAGGAGCTCCATTGAATAAGCCCTGGCAGACACACAGAGCTGGGCTGTTGCTACTGACACGAGTCCCAAAACAACACACACAGGCTGTGAGAAAATGCTACTGTCTCACAACTGTGGAGCTAAAAAAAAAAAAAAAAAAAAAAAAAAAGCAGCAAAGGTACAAACAAGGAAAATCTGACCCATCCCCAATTAATGGCATAAACAGTATTTATCTATTGATGATTAAGTGCTGCCCTTGTTCCTTGGTAGCAAAGTTCAATGATGATAGGCATCTTGGAAAACAGGTAGATGGACAGAAAGATAGATATCCTCAGCTACTTCAGCTATCCATAACATGCCATGTGCTGCCACCACTGCTTTAGCCTGACCAATTGCCTCAGTAACATGTTCCATCTTGTCTGATCAATATTAGCACTTCAGTAACCCTGCAGAGTTGCAGCTATCTGCTAGCACAAGAGCCTCATCTTGCCTTCTTGTATAGAAAGAGTCATATGGAAGAAGAAAAACCATTAGCTATTTAAATACTTTCATTTAATTGCTCTCATCATGGGAGTTTTCTTTTTGCTCGGATACCTTTTGTGCCTGTTCTGCAAATACATTAGAGCAAAAAGAAAAAACTGAAGCATCAGTAAATGAATGAACATTGGAAGAGTTTAACAAGAAATCTGAATTTGGTGCCCAGCCTCCTGTCCAAGGAATTACTGTGTGCCTCAGTTCTTTAGAATTAAAATGGGATTAATGACACCATTAAATCACCTGTTGTAAGGCTAAGGATATTCATGTGATTGGCAGACCTACATGAGAATAAAACCCAGAAGCAGAATTGCTGCTGTTTCCTCCTGAGATTAGGAGCTGACTGAGATACTGAAGGAGACATGATACAGAGGTGAAGGATCAAAAAGTTCATGTGCATTATGGGAATAACAGCACTGGAAGAAATATTGCATTATGGGAATAACAGCACTGGAAGGAAAAAAATCTGATTTTTACCTCACAAAATCTCTCATTAACTGGCAAACAAGGACAGAGTAGAAAAGAATGTTGTTCTCCCTGCCTCTATAAGAATGAATATTCCTGATAAGAGTCTGGGAAAATAGCAAATACCAGTGAGAGTCAGAAACTGGGGCCTTTCCCTCGGCACCCTGAGGACATACAGAATGATGGGAAGTTTTCTGGGTTGTCTCTGTCATCCTTGAAAGTCCTCCTTAGCTCACTGCACAGGGCAACAGGAGCTAAATCCTGTTTTGTTAAAATGAAACAAAGCTCTGTTGAAATGATCTACAAAAGTATAGGAGAGACAAAATATCCCTTCCCTTTAACTTGTTGATCTCCTACATTTCTGGTTTCTCTATCTACATTGGCCAGCCACCATTTCTGTCCTCTTTTCTTTTTTTTTTTCTTTCCTTTTCCTGTCAGATTTCTTCAGCCATGCTTTTTTTTCCCAGGTGGAAGATGAAAGAAAGGTACAGCTAGAGAATCAGCCGCCTAAGCATCATAATGCTAAATATTTGTTCACTTGCAGTAAGTCCTGGAGTGCTCCCTGTTTACCCAAGAGGATTTCAGCATAGAGACTTGCTCCAGAAAGCTTTTTGTTTAGAAAAGAGAAAAATCCTGCAGATCAGTGTAATCTCTGTTACTCTAGGAATTACTGAGTGTAATGTGGTGTGGGTGGGTGAGGTTTTGCTCCTTGGTAAAGCAGCAGCTCATGGGAAAGAGTGCTATAAAGTCTGCATCCTAGAAGAGTGAGAACCTCAATATCAAATGTCAGAAATTATGAAGGTTGAGGCTTTTCAACTGATATTTTAAGTTATTGCTAAGCAAAATTTTCATTTAAGTCAAAAGAATGGATTTGATCCTACAGATTTTTCCCTTATAAACTTCCTGACTAGGACAGCAGCCACATGACAGAGTCAAAATCTCCTACTATGTTCTTCAGGACAAATACCTCTTCCCAAGATGAGGGAGTAAAGACAAAGGTGCTGAGAACTTCATTGCTCATGAACAACTCTGAATTTTGTTCTACGGAGGGAGGATATTGAAGAATTTTCACCCCAGCTCAGGTTTTATCGTGGTGAGGAGAGCACAGTATAACAGATTAAGCTACTGCAGAGGTGACACAAGAAAACTTGTCAGAAGGAGGATAAAATATAAGAAAGATCAAGCAAATAATAGGTTTGTTTCCTACTGAAAGTTAGTTTTCCTTTTTTCATCCCATTTTTCAGGTTAAAGTCAGTGAGCAAAAACCATGTGCATTTGGTGGATGGTTGTTCTGATGACTGACAGAAGGCAAAAAATACAACTACAGGAGCATGGCACAGCAGAAATCAGCTCATTGGAGATGGCAGATGGACAGAACAGTAGTAGTTATGCTTAATTTTATATTTTTGCCATTATTTTGTTCATTAAATATTTTAAAAATCATTTGGGCAATTGTACCTGTGAGATTGTGATTAGCTATAAGATTTAAAGTATACCTTTGGATAATTTCAAATTGTTTTCTGTCTTTATTTGACTGAACTTGACACATTGAAACTGAATCAAACCATTGATTTATCAGAAGTGTTTTTTTCCTCATACTAGATCTGTGCAGATCTAAGTTATAATGCAGGAAAGCAGTAGAAAGTTGCACCTGTAAATATTTTAGAGAAAACTGCTGTTCTGTGGAACTTTATGCTGCTTTTCTGTGGTCCTATTGAGTGCTTTACAGAAGCTCATTTGGGAAATGTATTCTTTGATTTTGGTAATCAATTGATCAACATTTGAAGCTTTGCTCAGACACACAGCTATTGTGAAGAGCAGTTCTTTTGAATATCCATTTGATTGTGTTTGTGATGCTTGCTTTATTCAACTCTGCTCCAGGCAAATTAAAATGTACTGCTATATAATAAGTATGGGAAGGTTAGCATTCACAATTTAGGGATAAAACATTTTGACAGTTCTATTCTACATTTGCATTTAAAAATCGTAATGCATTTGATTAGAGCCTATGTTTATCGTAGGATCTCTTGTAGGCATTGCTGCTGTGAGATTGTTACCTTTCAGGATTTCTCCTGGACTGTGTGTCTGTGGGGGAGCACAAAAGCCTGCTGCTTCCACAGGCATGTTATTTTCTGGTCCATGGTCTGTCTCCTTTTCTTTAATTTCTGATGGGGCTCCACCTGCACTGCTGCTGCTGAGTCATCTGTGTTGGTGTCTGAGATATTTTTGGTGTGCAGACTTAGGCAGGTACCTGTGCATTGTTCTGCCTTGTATGCTTGCCATGCTTGTCCACTGGTCCCCAGACTCTCAGTTTTTGGGGCACTGCAGAATCCCCATGGGGACAGAGGCAGGCATTGTCTGGGCAGGGACAGATCCTGCCACCACAAGCATTGTCCTTGCTGGTGAACAGGTGCTGCTCAAGCACAGCTTGTGCACAGACAATGGGCAGCACTCTGAGCTCAGGAAAATGATCACTCACAGGCTGATGGCTGAAGGATGGGTCACTAAAACTATCAGGATTCATTGCTACCCTTTTATTTTATCTGTCATCTTTCTGCATTAGGAATGTTCAGGGGGATTCAAGTAACCTGATATAACATCTGCAACATTGCTTTCACCAAGAAAATATTCATTCAGATAATAAGGCTGTCTCAAGATACGCTGTCTCAAGAGACCATTTGTAAATTACTGTTAAGTGATAAAAAACCCTAAACTAACAAACACTCTGGCTAGATAGTTCAGACTTTTCAGAGGAGCAGAAATAAAGGGGGAAAAAACATTGTAGGGTTTGCAGGGTTTGCAGGAAAATGTATTTGAGCTGAAGTAAGGCCTTCTTCCTGGTCTTTTAGCCAATCTCTAGAGACTCTGTGTAATTGTTAGATTTTCCTTGGGAAAAATATGGACTTAGGTGATACCAGAAATCTTGTGCAGTGAATTCTCCAGGAGTCCCTTTCTACATTTTGCCCCACTACTCTGCCTCCAAAGCCCTGAAAACTCATGCACCCTCAAACTGCTGTGAATTGTCATTTTCCATGCCTTCCTTCATTTGGAAGCTGTTTCTTCTGACTCAGCAATAATTAGCAGAGAAGGGATGAATTCTGGGAATTCTGAGATGCTATATGCACAAACTCCTCTTCTGATTGTAAAGGGGACCACTGGTAAATCCTCTCTGTGCACCCAGACTGGGTCTTGCACTGAAAAACATCAAAATCTGAATTATACAGAGGCTATGCAGCACTATGGGTAAGTACTTTCGCCTTTCATGTCTTATTATGTTGTTAATTAGTTAATGTTTGTAAAGCACTTTGAAGATGAAAAGCCCTATATAAGTTCTAAGTGTTATTATCTCTAGAGACCTAGGTTCAATTCAAAGGTGCTTAATTACATATGCCATAAATTAGACTTAATGAGTTGTAGAATCATACATTTTATGCAATGCATGCAGATTTCTCAGCCAGAGCTGGGTCTTAGGGTCTGTTGCAGTATTTCTTTAGGTATTCAGAGTTGTTAAGAAAATTACACAAAAATAGACCAGATCATTTCTAATAATGATTTGATTGCATTTCAGTACTATTTGGGACTTGGTGGAGCAAACCACTGGGAGCTTTGCTCAACTGTAATTTTACTGGGATTTTCCAGTAACCAAATTGCTGAAGGTAACAGTTTTGGGGTTATTTTAATTATGATATAGACATAATTCTAATTCATGCTTCTGTATTTTGGCTTAGCAGGAGGATGCTGAGAAGTATTGGCATGACTGTTGTACTTCCAGTAAGACCCTGAAATGTCCCATTAGGGGACCACTTCATGTTGGTTTACATTCACAAGCATAAAAACAGAATTTCCCATCTCTAGAGATACCACAGTGTAATTTACAAGCCATTATGAGTGAGTAGCCTGCAAAAAGGGGAAGCCACAGTTATAGGAAAATGTGGTTTCATTGGCTTTGCAGAGCTGAGAGTTTCCATGTTTTGTAACTTACATATTTTGTGGCCAGAAAGCTGCAGACTTTGCCCTGCTCCAGCCCCAGCAGCAGGGCAGATGTCCATGGTGAGCAGGCAGCTTCTCCTGGCTCTTGCCCAGCCAGCAGAGTTCAGAGACACAAACCAGCAGCATCACCCACCAGGTCTAGAGGGGCTCTCATGTGTCCCTGCAGCAGAATAAATCCATTTTACCTTGGGCCTTTCATGGGCATATAGAGGGAGGCAGGATTTATGCTGCATATAAATATGTTAGGAGTGTTTGTGCTCCTTAGTACAACCCAAGTAGATTGGAAAAACTAATTATTAGCAATTTACTATGAATGTCACTAACAGACTCACTTGAAAGTATTTATCCCGAAGTGAAAGTCGTTTGATTTGGTTAATGTTTATTGTAAGCATATGGAGACTGTCTTCCAGGGAAAAATGTATTTTTGAGTGCTCCAGACAAGTGAAACTGGTGAGCCCGCAGTCCCGAGAAAGCATCTGTAACCGCAGCCAAAAGGGGAACAATGTTTCTGACATTCTTTCAAGACATGTGTTTGAAGCATGGGTTCCCATCACTTTCAGAGCCACTTGCAGGCCTTTTTCTTTATTTAGATTTAGGCAAGTCAACGTGGGCCTAGATTCAGTTAATAAATAAATGCCTCTGTGATTTCTTCCTCATCCATTCTCTACTGTTATTTTAATGTTTATTTAGAACAGAAGTGTGTTCCTTAAATGGGCAGAGCACAGTTCCTGACAGTGTTTATCACTTACTTTTCCATATTCCCAAGAAATGAATCTAGTCTTACACCCTAATTACTGGGGCGCATCTCTTTCAAAAACAGGACATAATTTTGATGAATACTTTTCATATACTTTAAAAAATAGGAACTTCACATGAATGCTGATTTGAGCTCCAGGCTGAGGTTAAATGTTTTAATAGTGCAGCAAACTTATCAACAAACCTTTCCTTCCCTACCCTTCCCCCTTCCCTTTTTACAATGAACAGATTTTTATCCGACTGGCTTGTGACTTGGGGATTTTTACAAGTAGGTTTAGGAACTTGTCAAACATTTGAAAATTTCAGTCTGAGAACAAAACAGAAAAATCCCACAACTTAAAAGCCCAATACTTTATGTATTAACTTGGTAAATTTTTTGATTTGCTGAAATACCTACAGGACTATTCTCTGACTTAACTATCAGTACTTAACTAGAAGTTACCAGTCTGATGCCTTTTTTAATACTCCAGGACACCATTTATACTGATATAACTCACTGGGCTGCCAAGTCACTGGAGCTGCACAACACTTTTTGTTTCCAAATTCCTGTAGCCTTTTGTCAAAAGGTGATAAGAATTTTCATACTAGTTTTATTTAATCTTGGCTTTTCCAGCCTGTCTCCTTTCCTCCTCTGTTTCCAAGATGTCAGTGACTGACATGCTCTGGCAGTGATATCACTGTTGCTCAGACATGAGTGAAGAATCTCTCTGAGTAAGTGGGGCAGTTGTGAGCTTGAAGTGCCTGTTGCAGAGACATCAGGCAGCAGGGACAGCTGTACAGCAGAGAGCACCTTGGTACAGCCAGGCCTTCAAGGCTGGCCAAGAGACCAATGGCTGGGGAGCCTCCAGAAAATCTTCATGGGCTCAAGAAGCAGTAAATGTGCATGGAGAAACAACTTGGTACGTTAACGTCCAGCACAGAACTCTGGTCACTTGGTGGTTGTGTTGGCTGGGAGTTTTACAAAAACAAGCCATGCTTTGGTTTGTGACTTCCTCACTCATTTTCCTGTGTTAAGTCCCTAATTTAACAATGCACTGACCTCTCTCCTCCGAAAATCTGTGGCTGTGGAAACATTGCCCCTGCAGGAGGTCTGGAAGATTTCTGGACCATTACTGCTTCTGACTTCCTCTCTCTGTGAGCAAAGAGCTATCACAGGTCAACTGCAGAGTGGAAAAAGTGGCAGCAAATTGTGGGGTAAGCCCAGATTTAATATTGATGTGTTTTTATACCACAGTGGATAAAAATCATCCATGCCTCCTAACAGAATAAGGTACAGATGTATGTGAATCATCACAAACTTGTTCTTGTTGGTGCCTTTTATTTCAGTGGGCCTTTTGATTTGTTTTTTTTGTTTTTTTTTGGTTTTTTTGTTTTTTTTGGTCAACAGACTTGAAAAGTGTACTACTGGTCTGCTGCTGCATGGTTCTTGAATTCCTTTCTCTCTACAGTCATGTTGCAGAAAAAAAGAAAATCAAATGCAAAATTTAAAAAACAAAGTGTCTGGTCTGAGAGCATTAAGAATTAAGTTTGCAGATATTTAATTCCAGGAGTAGCATTATAACACCAAATATTTTAATCTCATGCACACAATATCATGTACATATTACTTCAGCAAGAAGCTCTGTCCTCTGTGGATTAAGAGCATGCCTTCTGTTTAACCCTCAATTCAGTAAAACATTTCTATTCCGAATGATAGTGAAGTTTAAATTCGGACATGTCTGCAAGTCCATTGTGTTTGATGTCTGAGGTTAATGAGGTTAACAACAGGCTGAAGTGTTGTCCTGAGCCAGAGTTTGATTTGACAATGTGTAACAAAGTACATGTGCACGCCAACATTTCTATTTTAAAGTTTCCTCAGGAAATAGGCAATGAGATTATTTAATAAGTATTCATCAGAAAAATCTGCTTTGACTATGTCTTTACAGTTAAGCCTAAACTCAGTTCTGCATTAGGGGTTGGTTGAAATTTTGGTTTAAGTAGAAGCACAGTCCATGGCTTTATGCATCTATCAGAACAGATTTGTGAATTAAGGTGGTAAAGCCACACTCTTGCCTGACAAAGGATATCAGAAAGCTGTTAGACTTAAAAATGAACAACTCTATAAAGCTGGAGTTTGTCATGGAAACATCATCACATCAAGTAATTTGCGTTACTCATTCACCCCATTAGAGTAATTATTTGTAATTGTTATTATTGTAGCATATGTCCACCATTTAAGCAGTGCATATTCCTGGGAAGAGCTGGGTCATTCATGAGAGAAACTGAGAAAGTGAGTTGAAATGTCAAATCAGGCAGGCAGATGGAATTATTTCATTTGCTCTTAAACGAATTTATCATTTTTTCTCTTACTTCCTCATACAGGCAAACAGGGAAGCAAGCTAATGCTATCTACTGGTTTCACAAGAAAAAAAAGTCAGAAAAAACAAAACCACTAAAAGACATCTTGAATAAAGAAACATTTCACTTTGGTGGACCAAATCTTCAGGGATGCATTCAGTTTCTCTGACACAGGTACCTGTGAGCCAGCAAGGCACACTCAGGTGAGCTGTGAGCTTTGGCCCTGTGTCACTGAGAAAGGCAGAAATGGCCCTTCAGTCACCAATGGGCAAAGAGTGAATCCACAGATAATCTGTGTATGGACCCTTCTACTAGCAGATAAAATCAGGGTATTTACAGAAAATCTATTGCAGTTGTTTTTGTCTTGCATTGATAATGGGACTCATACTGGTGTGATTTAAGAGTCAGAATTAAAAAATAATGAAAATCTACAATTGCTTCATCTAGATTTCTGGGAGGAACCATTGAAACTTTGTTCAGAATTACCCACAATTATGAAAAAATGCTCTTTTGTTCTTACATTAATTTGCTTACAGATGGATTTATAATATCCTTTAAAAAATTGATGTTACACCCATCTGCATGTGCTTAAGCTCAGTCTGCTGAAATGTACTGCTTGAGCTCATGACGAAAGCTACTACTATTGTTTGCCTGCACAATACAAAAGGAAATAAAATGAAGGGCTCAGAATGGACTGTTGCAAATCAAGACTTCAAAATCCCAGTTAAACTGCTTTTTGTTCAGCATCTTTTATTACAAGAAGAGGCACTTATCACAGATATTTGGGATATTTGGCAGTAAAACCATAATACTGAATGTTCAGATGATGATGATGAAGAAGCATTATTGTCTTCCAATGCCACTAAAGTTGAAGTTTCCATTTAGGTCAATTTTTAAAAATTTGGGTGTTTGGTTCTTTTTCCACAAAGATGTTAAAGAGGTAAATTAAGCTTATTAGCCTGAATGTGGCAGTTAATATGCTGATGCTAAGAACATACGTAAAGCCAAGAGCTCTTGGCTAGGCATTTTGACTCATTAAAGGAGAAATAAATGTCAAAATGAAGAAGGTAAGATTGTGATACAAAATCTATTAATAAAGCATTCTGAAGAAACTGCCTGTTATTTGTTACTAAAGGAATAAATATACATTTCTGTAATGAAAAAAAGATTATCTATAAGAAAATATTCTGTTCCCTTGCTTACACTGAAGAAATTTTATATCAAATGTATAGAGAACTGCTCCTTCATTGTTCCAGTCATAAGATCAGTGTCCAGTGAATAGCAATTTGTGTAGTCTTATGATCAGACATCCTAGGTCAAATCAACTTGTGGAAAGTGATGGAAAGAGCATTTTAAATGCTGTAGAGAGGTGACAGCCTGGAAAAAGCTAATTAAAGAATGTTTTTGAATTGTGTTCCTTAGGATCTTTCACTTAAAAACAAGCTCAATTGGAAAAAAAATGGACTAAGAGGGTGCCAATGTCAGTGCAGCAGCAGTAATCCAAGTGTAGGCTGTATATTGCTTAAATGATTACTTTGATATGGTTTGGCAAATGAAAACCTTCTCTTACCATAAGTCATTTTTAGCATCTGGATTTGCATGCATGTATTATATCTGTTATATTAATTACATCTATTTTCCCAGGTATAGACAGACGCAGCCCAGTCGTGTGGCACCCATGAATAGATCCAGTGAGCCTGTGCAGCTGTGTTTTGATCAGCAGAGAGGTTTCCTGGCATCGAGAACTGAAATCACCTTGTGGCTATGACAAGCACATCTAAGTATGTAGCAAGTGAAAATCAAGGGTTTCTGTAAGGAAGAAGTAAGGACACCTACCACAAAAAATTAAAAGTAAAATAACCTTTAATAATTGCAACAATGCAAACCCCATTCTGTGTATTGCTCTAAACTGGCATTTAGCCATCCATCATTTGCTGGCTCATAAAGCTGATTTGTGCTCTTCCCTCCCCTCCCTGCTTCCAGGAGCTGCTGGCCTCCTTTCACCACTCCTTTCCCATAGGCTCACAACTGGGACCCAAACGCTCTTTTGTCTTTTCCTCTGGAACTCTGCTTAGTGGCACATGGGGAAAAGGGGGAGCTGTGAGCAGCTTGCTTTCTTCTTCATTGTGTAATGCCACTTATAAACTCTGTCGACAGACACTTGGGAGGTGTCTAAAATGTTAGACAAGGAAACAGGTATAATTCAGAGGAAACCTGACCTTGATTGAATAGGGTCAAAATGCCTCAACCAGCTCTTTCATTTGAAACTCCTCATTTACAGACTCAGACTTCTTTCATTGTGGCTTAGAGTTGACAAATATGTGTGGGGTCTGTGTTAGTCTGGAAAATGAGAAGTGTTAAGGAAACTTCCCAGTGTGACCACTGCGGAGAGCCCCTGGCAGGCACACTGCCCAGGACAGAGACTGTCCCTGCTGCCAGCAGCAGCCTCAGAGACCCGGCGGGTCCCTGCACACCCCTCTCACACTCCCACCAGGTTTCCTCACCAGGTTCCCCACAGCAGAGTCTCAGATGTTCCATAACACCACTAATTCCCGGCAGTGACACAGGAGCAGCCCGAGCTGGCACCTCCGAGGAGGAAACCAGCCAAGAAACCTCCTTTTACACCTTTTATTTACTTTTTATATCTTTTATCCTCTCCCCTTCTCTCCCAAGGCAAGTCTCGCTCCCGCCCGGCTCTCCGCGCCCATCATCTCGCTGGCGTCACCCATCTCCTTTGTTACCCCAAAGATCGGCAATTCTCGGCTCCTGCTGTGTCTCTCAGTGTCCATTCACCCGGCTGGCATTCCCATCTTCATGCCTTTGTTATCCCAAGGGTTGGCACTTCACGGCCTCTTGTCTCAGCTCCCACCCACAGCTCAATCTGCATCTCAATCTCAGTTTGTGAGCCGGGCTACCTGGACCAGCAGCATTCCTCAGCAGCTGTCCATCTGGATTTAGGGAATTCTGGGGTTAAACAAACTGTGTGGAGAACACACAATTTCTGTCACCTCAGAAGGTTGTAGCACCAAATTGTGGAGATTACAAAAATTTGTTTTCAGGAATCTTGTTTGGCTATCCCCAGGTATTAGCATCTAGCAGTTGAATACAAGCTCCAGCTTCCTAATTCCCAGTTCTATTTGTATATGTTAATTAAACTCCTGAGGAAACAAAAAAAGAAAAAAAAAAAAAAAAAGGACTGAGCTCTAAATTATGTGTCTAAGAGTTTGAATTTTCTTCCTGACATTTAGAAATCTAAGGCTGTAAGCCACTGAAGGCTTTTGAACAAAATATTTGTGGTTATTTCCAGACTTGGTCGCTAGAGATATTTCTTGAACTTCCTGGTGCACTATTTTATCTCAAGTCCTTTCTGCTGAGTATTCTAAGAATGATTTACCATAATAGTTGATGAAGGTTCATATAGAATGTATTCCAAGTATTTGTCTCCTATATTATGCACCTCTGTCAACCGGACTTTCTTTTGTTGTTATGGAAACCCCTTCTAGTGAAAGCTGTTTGACCCAGGAAAGCATTAGCGAACCAACAAAGTTTGGAGTTTCAAGTAGTTATCACTATTTTTGTTTCAATATTTTTGAACATCTTTCTCACTGACCAAAACCACAGATGGCACAGACTTGACTTTCTCATCACTAAGGATAATTTGTATCACACCAGTACTAAAAAGGGGCCTGCAAAAAGTGCAGATGCAATTAGAAGCCCTTTAATTTCCTTTCACACCATTGGAGTAGCAGACAGGAATCATTAGCTTGTGTCCTTATCCCTTCTGTTTCTTTGCTGGGGAGTGTGGGACTAGGATTGGTATGGGTTGGGAACAGGCAATTCCTCCTCTCCTGTTCCTGAGCTGCTGAAGAGCAGCCACATCAACACACTCAGCACAAAAGCATTTCTTCACATTTATCTCAGGTTAGCACTTTCCTTTTTTTAACTGTCTCTGATCTGACTATATCTGATCATTCCTTCATCTCATTTTCACTTAACCTCTTGCCCTCTACACAGACTAAGCATCCTATCAGATATCTCCCAAGGGACCTTCTTTTCTCCCCACTCCCCTTTCTCCACTCTTTCTCCAATTTAGGTGCTTTATGCCACTCTTGCTAATTTACCTGATTACATGGAAGGAGCTGTAGATCTTTTTATAATTGCTGTTTTACTTAAAACATTGATCCTTCAGCTCATGTCTGTTTTCAGGTCATCACACCTCACTGGAGGTTTCCCTGGCTTAATGAGCAATTCTGAAACCATAGGAAGTTCCAGAAGATGGGGGTCAGTGTACATTCTGATGTTTGAAAGCCACTCCATAGCACCCACAGGAGGATTCGTGGCACCTGCCTAGTTAAACAGTCTGTCCAATGTTATCTCTCCAGGCAAGTAAGATTCTGGCCATCACTGTAGTCCTATTTCACTCCTTCTCAGTCTTTTTGACACCAACACATTAATTCTCCCAAGCTCCATTGGCAGCTGTAAGAAGTTCTCTTTTTTTTTTTTTTTAATATGATTGATAATATTGAATATTTCTTTTAACCTTTTACTGCCATTCCTGGGCTATGTGATAGTTTTTGTGTTCAGATGTTAAGTTCCAGGATGCAATAGCACATCTTACAATCACTTACTCATTATGAAGCTCATTTGTAAAATGCTGCTGCCTAATTTATGACTGCCTGTGAAGCCCCACCTACCATTGGCCATCCAACATTCCCACTGTCAAAGGTCACATAAAGAAAATCATTGCTTCATACAGAAAATCCTTCCAGTTTAACACAAAGAATGGCAGTCCTTGCACAAAATTTGTCTATATGGTTTCATATGATGCACTGGAAAGGGTGCAAATAAAGCAGGTTCTCTGGTTCAGTGCAGGAAATGGCCCAACTGAAATGTAGTGGCAAAAAATGTCATAATTTTCACTTCCAATTTCTTGGGGGAAAAAATAGAAAGGTTGTCTGAGGAGACACAAATATGTAAAAGCAAAAAGACCTCCCAGGATGACTTGAAATATGTTCAAATTACACATCTACTCCCTGCTCCCTAGAACCCAGTAAATATTTCTTTGGCCCTACAAAGTATTTTAGTCTGAACCCAGGAAACCTCAACTTGACCTTGAAAATAAGATTCCTCAGTATTCAAAGTAAATGTCTCAGCCACATTACTGGAGGAGTTGCACTTTTCTGATTGAACATATAAAACTTCTCTCTTTTGGCCAGTGGGGTAGATTATACTGTGGGGAACTGGTTTGTTTTCCCAATTAGCTGACCACAGGCACTTTGAAACTCTCCTTCTCAACTTCTGCACCTCAGTACAGTGCTGGTGGCAAGGTTAAAATATCTGGTTTGGGCCATAGGGGCAGGGTTAAGCCAGAGAAGAGCAGTAGAGCCAAACTCAGGGGAGATACACTGACCTGCCTTACTGAGTGAGCAGCCAGAGCATCTCTCTACAGGGATTTTGTTTTGTCCTCTTCTCAGGTTGTAGTGGATGGTTTAACAGCATTTGATGCTGTAGCATCCTTCCAGCATACCTTGAATCCCATTTGAGATTTCAGATTGAATATGTCTGGATTTGATCAGTTTTATCAGTTTATTTTCCTCTGATGTTTTTCTCCTCTGCCAGCTGCATTAACTCTTCTTTCACCCAAGACTCACTCTATGGTGAGTGTAATGAAAATACTCTTTTAAAACACTTTGACATCATCTTCTGACATCTGCCTCATATTCAGGTATAAATTTCCTAGGTCTGGTTATCAGTTCTATGTAGAAAAGTATGAGCATGTGTTCCACATGGAGTGTAAAAGGACAAAAAAGGTCTCAAATTCCTCTTCTGATGACTGGTCAATGTCTATCAACTGATGTTGAAGATCTCTGTGACCACAGCCTTCCTTTAATGTCATAGCTCAGACATAACTGCCTTTTGTCCAGCAATCTGTATAAAACAGACCAAAATAATAAAGATGGACACTTTGATTAGCATCTACCATATTAATTGAATTAAACCTGGCTTTAATTCTAACAAAAACCCAAATGCAGTATTGGGGGTTATATAAATAAAGTGATGCTTTTTCAAGATGAGCCTTTCCATTTTTGCTTCAGCTTGAGTTTGTCACTTGAGGCCAAGCAGTGTTGAAATGCTGTCAGGCAGTGTTTCACAGAGGCTCCTGGTTCAGGGCACCAGTGCAGGCTCCCAGCTGCCCAGGCTGGGCCCTTGCACCCTCCCCAGTCCTGCTGGCTCCTGGGGGTGCTCAGGGCTTCATTAGGTTGCAAGTTGTAGCCACGTGGTGCAGGTTTAAGGGCTCTGTGTAACTCAGGTAATATCCACACATCTGAGAAGGACAGTGCTGTTATCCAAACAGAATGAACCTTTGAACTTTTTTAGGCTTTTAATGTGACATTAAGCCTCAGATTTATAAAACCAAACCAGAACAAAACAAAAGCGTGCTTGCTTTCATTCTGTGCTCTGATTTTACACTGGATTGTCAGCAAAGCAGACCTTTTACCTATAAACAGATGGCACACAATTCTGTGGGATTTTCCCACATTTGATGAACACACATCAAGTCCATTTACATGAGCATGGAAAATATTAAAATGACTACCAGGTCTGTATAGTGTAAGACACCTGGAGCACATTGCTGCCAGCAAGCTTCTGAGGTGGGGGTATTCTGGCACACAGTCATGGTTCTGGGGACTGGGCCATTTTTGACTCAGGTTATTGCATCTTTTGACACCTAAAGACATGTTCACCTCTGACCCAGAAACATCTGCAACGTCCAACTATAAAAAGGGGAATGGAAATGTAGCCTTTTTTTCCCCTTACTGTTATTTTTATTTTCTATTGAAAAGGGTTTTTAAAGATCTATGAAATGTAAAATTGCTTTTTTTGCCATAGTTGCAAAACTCATTTCATTTTTTATCTGAGATGCACTTGTAGCAAATTTCCAGATTTGGAAAACTCATGCAATAACCCACTCTGAGGCCCAGAGTGTGAGCAGAACCTGGGCTGAATCTCTGAGGCAAACAGGGGGGGCTGTGACAGAGAGCAGCCTTGTCCCCAATCCCAATTTTTACCCCCTCTTTTCCCCAAGAGCTTATATTCCTTTCAAAGTTATTGTATATTCTGGCTTTGCTTCCTAAAGTACCTCTGGCTGATTTAAAATCACCACTTTTGCTCCTTTCTGGGCAGGAAAAATTGATGATCAGCTGGGTCATTACTGCTGTTCTTCTGACATGGCCCCAGATCAGAGCACCAGCCCTCCTGGTGACTGCACCAGGGGCTGCACGTTCTTAAACTGCAAACTGGCACCAACTGGAGTCTCCCTTTCACCTCTCTTGTTCCCCTGCAATTTTTATGCACAAATTTTATTTCTTTTTTACTTAATTTTGCCTAGTAATTTTTGGCCCTAAAAATTGAGCGGGGACCTTTCTGTGTGTCAGTCTTCCCTCCTGTAGAATGAATTATGTGGTTTGTCGGAAAATGGGACTATCTTTGTATGAATAGCACTATGAAAATCCCCAGAATTATTGTAGTTAATTTTTTGTTTCATTTAACAGGAGAGGTACAATATAGGGCAGAGTAACATCCTATGTTGATGGATAAATTATTGCTGTGTTTGACTTTGCCAAAATTAACACATTTCCTATTGGAAAACAACAACAATGGGAAAAAAAGGCTCAACCAAGCAAAAAAACTTCAAAAAAGTTTCTCTTTTCTGAGTATAGGCATTTTATGTTAGAGCCTTAGAGCTGATTCTGTCTCTCCCAAGTTATAAACCCTTATGGATGCACCATAAAGATGTCCACCTAATGCAGAGAAAAGCAGATTAATTGATCACAGTAATATATTCTTATCCACTGAATAAGAGCATTCCACACATTGTTTCTTGTTTTGTTTCTGGCTTGTAAATCTTCATTGTAGGATACAAATGAAAATGACCCAAATATGTATTATTTATGAATAGGACTCTCAGATATTATGCTTTAGATTGATTGTGTTAGACAGGATATAACAGAAGCACAATAAGTCAATGAAAAATAAAAAGCAGAAAAAATGTTTCATGCTAAAAATGTAGTTCTAGTGACGCCTCTTATATAAAGGA